TCCCTGCAGCCCGATGCAGTAGAAGTACGGATGCTTCGGGTTGTCGAGCATCTCGGCTGCACGAACCTATGTTGCACCGACACGCGACACGCGACACGACACGCGACACGTCAATTCTCAAAAATACCATTTTCCGACAAGTTGGGACACGTATATTAAATATATATTTTTAATAATTAAATATACCATAATGACCAAAAACAATTGGTTTATTATAACCCATAAAACCATTAAGTTCCAATAAAAAGAAGTGCTACCCTTATTTGAGGTCATTCTACAAAAAATACCGTCACAATACCAATATCTATATATTATATTCACCCAAATCAATAAGCAGTAAGGGCAAGGGCATCATCAACAAATATAGAATGACCTACCACAACTATGGAATGACATATCTAATAATAATCAGGCCATCACAATTATAAAATGACCTACCACAGCTCTTAATAAGGAAAAAGACGCAGTCCACCACAATTTCTTTTCCTCATCCATTTGACCTCCCCATCTGACCTCCCTATAAAAAAAAAGGCAGCCCAACCATCTGACCTAGCCCACCACTTTTTACTTTTCCCCAAACCCACCCACACACGCCCCCTTCCCCGACTTCTCTTCTTCCCAGTTCCCAGCCTCCACAATTTCTTTCGAAACAGAGAGGTGTACCTGCAGCGACCGGCGAGCGGGAGAGGGAGCGGCGAGCGGCTAGCGCGACGGCGAGCACGATTGGGAGCGGGAGAGGGAGAGGGAGCGGCGAGCACGAGCCGCGACCACGACCGGCGAACGCGAGCCGCGAGCACGTCCGGCTAGCGCGACGGCGAGCACGATCGGGAGCGCGAGCGGGAGAGGGAGCGGCGAGCGGCGAGCGGCGAGCAGCGAGCGCGACGGCGAGCACGATCGGGAGCGGGAGCGGGAGAGGGAGAGGGAGCGGCGAGCGCGAGCGGCGCGCACGAGCGGCGAGCGGCGCGGAGGACGGGAGTTCGTCGGTCGAACAGAGGCAATCGTGTTTTAGCCCTAATTTGGAGGTGGACGCCTTTTATTGTTCTCTGTTTTCATTTTTTTACAAATTTACTCTTCGGACACGCCGGACTCGCGTGTCGGAGGCGTGTCCGGAGAGTTGACTTCGTGTCGGAAATCCGACACCGTGTTGACCGCGTGTCGGAGGCGTGTCCACGCGTGTCGACGTGTCCGACGCGTGTCGACGTGTCCGACACCGACACGTTGGCCATTTTCACGTGTCGGTGCAACATTGGTCCACGAACTCCCCGCCTCATCGTTGCTAAACGCTTTCTCCTTCGGCCTTAGGATGAGAGGGCTCGGCCGGCAAACTCGGTCCAGGTCAAAAGAGTGAGACACCAAACAAAAAGAAAACCGGTTGCTCAACAGGGGCGACAAGCGAGCGAGCTGAGCTGAGCTGGCAAAGAGAGGGAGCCTCGGCCGAACCTGGCGACTCCGACCGGCTCTCCAAGGGCCGAGTGGGCACACCCGAAGGTGAAATTACGAAGGACTAAAGCAGGAGGAGACGTCGGGATGGAAATGGAGAGGCGATACAGGGTGGCAATGAAGCTGCCGTCTCCGTCGGCATAGTAAAAGGATGGGCAAGAGAAGGAGGCGCAGTCTGGAGATTTCGCTGGACTCAAGGGGGCAGCGAGCAGCAGCGCAGAGGTCGGAGGAGGAGAGAGAGGAGTGAGCGGCCGCGCATGCAGGTGGAGGAAAGGTTGAGGGCAACGACAGGGTTGTGGCGGTTGGGGTTGGGCTTGCCCTCGCAGAGGATGCAGTTGAAAGGAGCGCAAGGGAACCAGACGAGGTCGCTGCTAACTGTCCATGAAGATGTAGTTCAAAGCTACGTTGTCTTCTCGCTGTAGCCGAAAGCTTGAACGATTTGAATATTGATTGAAGCATTCATTGCCGCGGCTCCTCAGCGTTCCTGAGACGCGCATTTCTTGCTCTGCTTCTCTTTGTTCTCCGGCGGTGAGAACTGAAGATCTGAGATCTCGTCTAAAAATTTCCATCGCCAGTTGTGGTTCTGTTCGTAGACGGTGGTGAGGTCTCCGGTCACCAAATCGAGCGTCGCCGATAAACCAGGTACTCCCGATTATACTCTGTTTTGATGAATGGAAAAGAACCGAAATGATATACTCTGAATCAATCCGGAATCGACTCCATCCATTCGAGTGTAATTTTTTTAGCAATTACAGACATCGTTGGCTGATTTTTTTTTAGGATTTGGTCTCTAATCCAGGGTCATTGTGCTTTGCTGTCATTCCATCACTGATTGCATATAACGTGCTTGATAAAATGCCTCTGAGAATATGAATCCAAATTGGTCCGAGATTTTACCTGACTTGAAAATTTGCTCAACATGTTGATATAGATAGCTTAGTAGCGATTGATTTGTTATAATCCCAACTTAATCTCACTCATATTCATCATCACTGAAGACGAATCTGATCATTTCATTTTTTATCCTTTGGTGCTCGGTGTGCTCTCGCGGTGATTGAATGGCCGCCGTCGGAGAGGAGAACAAGCCAAAGTTATTAATGTGCACCATGGCCGATCTCTGATTGTTCCATATTATATTAGTCGGCTCGCCGCCGACGATGGCTATGGCGTCGGTCTGGTGGTCGAAGGTGATTGCTACTTGGACTTGCAAAGTCCATCCTCGATTGTGATACGCGGACCGGGCTCAAAGGCCTGGCCTGCGTCCTTATGGAATCCTTGTTAGGCATTATCCGCATTTCTGAATAAATAAAAATAAAAATAAATCCGAAAATAGAAGAAAAATTAGAAAATTGGTTAGAAAAATAAATCTTTTTAGGTTGTTAGATTTTAGCATTACAATTAATTTAGTTTCATTTATATAATACTTACGAAAATTCATGACTTTCTCTGGTTTTTTTTTTGGTCAGATACTTTCTCTAGTTTAGACATAAGAAATTTAGTTTCTTTAGAAAATTGAATTTGATTTGAACTAAGCTCATGGAGGTTGCTGTCCCGGGCTTAATAACGAGGCCGTGTCATATTATTTGCCCGACTCTTATCAGGTTACCTTACTGCGCTTTACCCTTTTAGTCGCTCTTCATTACTTTCTTATAACAATTGATTGTGATTCTTTTATATTGTTTTCCTATGTTGTGATTTGCTTTCTTTAGCCGAATGGTTAGGTTACCGTTTCTAGGATCATAATAAACACCAATAAAAAATCTCATGGACACCTAACAGGCGAGATCTTATGATTCATAATTTTGTAAAAAGACTGCTTGGACTAACAAATAATCAAGTTTAGGTATCGAAGATCATTAGTTAGATAACTAGCGTAATCAAGTCCCCGACCCTACATTTCTGGTTGTGTAGGAAGTGAGGTATGCTCCTATAACTCATTTGGTTTCTAGCCCACCCCACTAGGCTAGTAGCGACACCTCATTTATAATTCTTGTAGGATTAATTGAAACTAAAATTGACTATTCAAATGTCGCGCAAGGTAAGGGTTTAGGAGAACCCGTGTCGAGTGAGGACCGTTGGTCCACCTTTGGCATTACTTCTAAGCCCGTCCTTTCACCGACGGAAAGAGGGTGATGATGATTAGGTCCTTTGTTCTTCTTTGCATAAATAGGATAGACCATCAAGCCATTAACTCAAATAAGCAAACAATCACAGCTTCACCGCCAAGTTACCACCAGTCCAATGCAATTTGTACATAGTGGAAAAAATCCGGATCCATCTACAGTTTGCTGCACGAGATATTGATAAAACAATGTTGACACCTAAATTTTGGCTTACTATTTGAAAATATTTGCACAAAAATTACGGATTAATTTTTAACTCCTAAATAAAAAATAATATATTTAGATGGCATAGCATATAGATAGTAGAAGCATTTTCATCGGCTCATATGGTTGCATTTAAATTGGACCGGCAACGAATGGATTCAAGTGAGGGAAATCCCGAGTTAATTTGGGCTAAGTCCACAAGAATGTGGAATTCAGCCAAGCCCGTTGAATATTCACCATAATCTCAAAAATTGCATGGGCGTTGCACCTGTCAAGCAAATTGAGAAATCTTTATTCTTTATGGAAGTTAATTGATCCATCAAAATTTTGATGAATAAAGAAAGCGAGCGAGAGACGAGATCAGCAAGATATTAAACACTGAGCTGGAGGTGGGTGCAAAAGGCAACGAGTGGAGATAATATCTTACGGAGAGTTTGGGAAGAATTTTCGCAAGCTGGACTCCATTGAATATTATTATTTGCACGATACGAAGAATATATTTTGATGATCAAGTGGAGCCCGGGATACTGGCTATTTAAGGAGCGTACACGGACATGAAGAGGAGGCCACAAAAATTGACATACACGGCCACCATTGAGAGAAAAAGAAAATCGTGAAGAGAAAAACAGGGAGAGAATTCACGGCCAGAAGAGAAAAATCGAGAAAAGTTGTTGAGAGCTGGGAGCATGAAGGCATGAGCGAGCCCCAATCGTCCAGGTAATTCTTGCAGGTTCCTCGGTCACGCATTGCAGCCTTCTCGACTCCCCCAGCCTTGTCACGCCCGGCACTGCTTCACAATAGCCGCGTCGGACACGAGCTGCATCTAAAGAATGTGTTCCCCTTTTTCCGCGATTTCTGGGAATCCGTTTCAGTCATGCCCCAACCGCACAGGACCCGAAGAGAGATCACTATATAAGCCCTTGTTGGACTTGGCACACACCCACCTCAGGGAACCATTAATGGGGGCTCAAAGGTGATGGCCTTCGCGTGATCACATTGTCTTCGGCAGAGCCACATGTCCATCGAAAAGACACATCGTCGATCTCTCGCTGCATCCCTCTCTGCTTGTCCCTCCCCAACCTCCATCTCCCACCTTAGAAACCTTGTACGGGATCCTCGCCGTCGTCCATCTTTCCTCTGTCCTTTTGTTTTGTCAGTCTGTTTCTGTTCTCGTCGCTGCCCGATGTTATAAAAGGAGGACCTGCGCGCAACACTTGGAGCAAATATTAACCGAGAACGATGCCTTCATCATTGGCCCAGTGGCTCTGCCTCGTGGCCGTGATCTGGCTCCAGACCATCGCTGGGACGAACACCAACTTCCCGGCATACTCCTCGCAGCTCAAGCAAGTCCTCTCCATCTCCCAGGTCCAGCTCAACAACCTCGCCTTCGCCTCCGACGCGGGCAAGCTGTTGGTGTGGTTCTCGGGGATCGCTGCGGTGTACCTCCCGCTCTGGCTCGTCCTCCTGGTGGGCGCGTTGCTTGGGCTTGCCGGGAACGGCATCCAGTACCTCTTCGTGGCTGGCAAGGTCGCCTCGGTCTCGTACCCCGGGATGTTTCTCCTTGCCGTCCTCGCCGGGAAAAGCATCTGCTGGATCAACACGGTGTGCTACGTGGTCGCGATCGACAACTTCCCACTTCACCGCCAGCTCGCTGTCGGGCTCACCACCATCTACCAAGGGCTGAGCACCAGTGTCTACACGGATATAGTTGACGCCGCACTCAACAAGCGCGGCGGGACTGGGGCTAGAGCTAAAGCATATCTGCTTCTCAACTCAGTCCTGCCAATGGCCGTGTCGCTAGCCACCGCGCCTTTAGTTCGGGTTGTCAATGCAGACGGTCCAGGGGCGGGCAAAAATGCGCACGTCCATTGGCAGGACTGAATTGAGAAGCAGATATGCTTTAGCTCTAGCCTCAGTCACGCCGCGCTTGTTGAGTGCGGCGTCAACTATATCCGTGTAGACACCGGCGCTCAAAATTTGGTAGATGGTGGTGAGCCCGACGGCGAGGCGGCGGTGGAGCGGGAAGTTGTCGATCGCGACCACGTAGCTCAGCCCTTGGTAGATGGTGGAGTTCATCAACTAGTCCATAGTTTGAAGTGGACGGACAACCATAGCATTTGCACGTAAATGTCTTGCTTGATCGGGTCTGGACTTTAAGTCTAGACTTCATGGCATTCAGCATTAATTGTCCTTATGTCCTAGCTAGTGAAAACACATGCGAGCCAGGCCGCTCTGAAGGCAGGAGGGACTGAAGCCTGATAAGAGAAGAGATTTCTACAAGAGATGTTAGGCACGTTCTCCATAAGAGATTTCTATGCATACGAAGATAAGATATTGTTCAGTGCATGTCGATTATAAGAAACTGTTTTCACGTATGTGCTTGCATCGGATGACATAATATTACATTACTCGAAGAAATTCGCCGTATGAATTATCGCTGTCTTGCATTTTTGTCCGTCCACTTATAGGTGAAAAGTTGGCTCTTTTGTTCCAATGTTGGAGCGAGGATCAATGTCTGTTACATTTGAACGGACACTAAAGCTTTTGGGACAACGTTCTTTAACGTCCTGAGACTTTAAGTCATGGTCCAAAAGCTAAATCATAAAGTGAACATTTTTCTTTTTCTTCCTGTTTCAGCAGAAAGTACGTGGTGTCGAGACCGGCATCAATGGCGGTACTGATGGCACCGATGGTCGGTGCCTACTTCCTGCTCCTCGGCCACTGCCATGGCGGCGCTCTACGTGAGCACCGCCGTCATCGGCATCTCCTGCTGGGCCATCACGTCCATCTCCGTGGCGACCACCACCGAGCTCTTCGGGACCAAGAACTTCGGCGTGAACCACAACATCCTTGTCACCAACATCCCGATTGGGTCCTTCGTCTTTGGATACGCCGCGGCGTTGCTCTACCGCAGCCAGCGAGGCGGCGACGGGAAGTGCATGGGGATGGAGTGTTATAGCACGACGTTTGTCATCTTGGTTCACGCCGAAGTTCTTGGTCCCGAAGAGCTCGGTGGTGGTTGCCACGGAGATGGACGTGATGGCCCCAGTGCAGATGCCGATGATGGCGGTGCTCTAGTACCACAACATCCTTGTCACCAACATCCCGATTGGGTCCTTTGTCTTCGGATACGCCGCGACGTTGCTCTACCGCAGCCGGCGAGGCGGCGACGGGAAGTGCATGGGGATGGAGTGTTATAGCACGACGTTTGTCATCTGGGGATGTCTGTGCTTACTTGGGACCTGTCCTAGCTTTAGTCATGTACGCACGTACGCGCAAGTTTTATTCAAGAAGTATAGAGAAGTAGTAGCTCACTAAACGAATGCACTCTTCAATACGAGTTAGGATATACACCTTTTCTTTTATTTTGCCAAATATCTTCGCTCAAGGAAAAAAAAATTCCTGGACATGTATGTATGTGTTATTGATCGAGAAATCGGCATTATATAATTCACCTAATCTAAGATACAAGTGTTTTTTTTTGGTCGGAATCTAAAGTGCAAGTTCAATGTGTGGTTTTTGAACATTGGGGTATTAATCAGACTGTTACCATGTCACTAAAAGAAAAACGTATTGCATTGACACGACTTATGATACTCGACTCGATAATTCGATACGATGGCCAAATAATCTTACGGGCCCACATGATAATGCACATGACTACTAAGATACTTTAGCGTGGACGCAATTTCTCTTTAAATCTTACGTAATGAATTATGAGTAATATGATATATTATTCATTGCTTTTCAACCATACTAATTTGTCGAGTGATAATTCTTTGTGTTCGTACCTCACAGCATTATCCTAAAAAAAACTGATCTTTTGACTCATTGACTATTGTTTTTATGCTGCTCGCTTGAACAGGACAATAAAACGTGCCGCGATTCCAACCACAACATACAATCCCAACTAGAAAATCGAATTAGCACTAACAAATACCATATATAAGTCTCGATGAGATGCATTCGCCACAATTTTATTTCTCCCTAGTAAGCTCGAAATGATTCATGAGAAAGTAATAATGATAGCAAAACTCATCTAACCTTACGAGACATTATGCGTGCTCGATTTGGATGTACTAGGTTTTGAGATTCAAATCACGGGATATCTTCCGGCTATAATCGAGTCGGGGATCATGTTCCTTAAATGTGCATGCATATCCACGAGATCAATCGAGACGAAGAGCTCGGTTATCATTTGATCGCGATCTTGAGAGAGAGAGAGAGAGTGAGAGTGAGAATTTTTGGACTCTGACTTATGTGCATGAGGCTGAGATTGAACCGTGGACCCGTCGGATATCTCCGACCCCAGCTCACGGGACCGCAAGCAGCCCCCCTCTCGTCCAAAGCATCTCATCCGTGACATCTCACTCCTGACGTCATAATTGATGTGATCTCCTTCTTGTCCCATCCCTTTTTTCTTAATTTAATTAATCTATTTATTGTTGCTTTTGGGAGTGCGTGTGTACAGGCCGGAACACAAATTGTATTCAGTAAGTGAATTTGGTTCACTGTCATAAACTCTCACTCACTTAAAATCAAAAAACGACTTTACTCGACAATTAAAGAATCGCTCTCTCTCTCGAGACTACAATAGGTTCATTTAATCTCGTGGTAAAGAGATATGTGCCTTTACGTAATATGTTTCGCTCGATCGGTGAATCAAGTATAGAATAGACACGTTTTCCGCGTTTTGTAATGTGCTTTCACTACAAAAAAACAAGGGTTTTTCAACGAATTTTCCCACGAAAAATTTGACAAAATTCGTTGGAAAACGAATTTCCAACGAAAAAAAATTCGTTGGTAATTCGTCGTCGCAAATTTTTGCGACAGAAAATTTAAATTTTCGTTGGTAATTTGTGACGAAATTTTTTCGTCGCAAAATTCGTGGCAAAATTTGTTGGAAAGTTCGTTGCTAATTATTCGTTGCAAAAATCGTGGTAAACTTCGTCGGTAATTATTCGTGGTAAAATTCGTGGCAAAACGAATTTCCGACGAAAAAAATTCGTCGCTAATTCGTCGTCGGAAATTTTTGCGACAAAAAATTTTATTTTTTCGTTGGTAAATTCCGACGCAAAAAAATTCGTTGCAAAATTCGTAGATAAATTCGTGGCTAAATTTGTTGGAAAATTCGTTGCCAAATTCGTTGCTAATTATTCGTTGGAAACATCGTGGCAACATTTGTCGCCAATTATTCGTGGCAAATGAATTTCCCACGAAATTAGCGACGAACAAAAAAATTTCCCACGAAATTAGCAAAAAAAAATTTGAATTTTCGTTGGTAATTTGTGACGAAAATCAATTCGTGGCAAAGTTCGTTGCAAAATTTCGTGGCAAAATTCGTCGCTAATAATTCGTTGGAAAAATCGTGGATAAATTCGTCGCTAATTATTCGTGGCAAAATTCGTGGCACGATGAATTTCCCACGAAATTAGGGCCGAAAAAAAATTCGTCGCAAATCGAATTTTTGCGACAAAAAATTTCAATTTTCGTTAGTAATTTGCAACGAAAACAAATTTCGTGACTGAATTTGTGGGAAAATTCGTTGCAAAATTTGTCACTAATTAGTCGTCGCAAAAATCGTGGGAAATCGCGAATTTTTCCGACAAAAAATTTCAATTTTCGTGGGTAATTTGCGACGAAAAAAAAATTGTTGGCTAAATTCGTGGGAAAATTCGTTGCAAAATTTGTCGCTAATTATTCGTTGCAAAAATCGTGGGAAATCGCGAATTTTTTCGACAAAAAATTTCAATTTTCGTTGGTAATTTCCGACGAAAACAAAATTCGTGGGAAATCGCGAATTTTTTTCGAAAAAAAACAAGGGTTTTACCACGAATTTTGCCACGAAAAATTTAACAAAATTCGTTAGAAAACGAATTTCCAACGAAATTAGCGACGAACAAAAAATCGTCGTCGCAAATTTTTACGACAAAAAATTTCAATTTTCGTGGTAAAATTTCGTGGCAAAAACGAATTTCCGACGAAATTAGCAACGAAAAAAAATTAGTCGCTAATTCGGCGACGAAAATTTTTGCCACAAAAAATTTTAATTTTTCGTTTGTAATATTTGCGACAAAAACAAATTCGTGGCAAAATTTGTAGATAAATTCGTGACTAAATTCGTTACAAAATTCTTCGCTAATTATTAGTTGCAAAAATCGTAACAACATTCGTCGCTAATTATTCGTGACAAAATGAATTTCCCACGAAATTAGCAACGAACAAAAAAATTCGTCGCAAATTTTTTTCAAAAATTTTGGCAGCCAAAAATTTGAATTTTCGTTAGTAATTTGCGACGAAAACCAATTCGTGGCAAAGTTCATTACAAAATTCATGGCAAAATCCGAATTTTGCCATGAATTTAAACATAATCTAATATTTTATTTTTTGATTTTTAACCTAATTAAAAGAAAATTTAATTTCTAGAATTTATATTTAACATTGAGTGCTTAATGTCAAAATATTATAATAATATGAAAATGAAATACATTTATCAACGTTTTCCACAAGAATGACATAAATATTTTTTTTTATAGTACACATAATGAGAGAATAAATAATCTTGCATAATAAATAATGACGACAAAAATGAATCAAAAAAGAATATCATGCTTTTAGCGACAATCCCCAGCATATAAATACTAAACAAAACTACTAAAGATACGGTCCATGTGTGATGCTCACTTCCTGCTCCAGTTTTAACAGATGCCAGTTGAAATGTCGTTGCAACCTCTCATTTGCATAACTTATGCAGAAATTGCCACGACAGCCTCTCTCTGTATATGCTGTACTTCCGAGGTTCTACCTGCACCAAAGTGTTATCTCAGCCATAATTTTCTGGAATAGATAACCAAAAAATAAGAGTAGGCTTCATTAAATCT